ATCGTTGCGTGTATTTTCTAGATCGGGATGACTTAGGATGTCCTTCCCCACAGACGGCGCCAAATGTTTATGCAGGAATTTGCACAACGGTTCTGCACGAATCGAGCTCACTCCCAGTCTCCGGTTCCGACCTGAACACTAGAGTGGACCTGCACAAGAGGGTAATCACTCTGACGCTCAAGTCAGTATAGATCAGACTCCTTATTTAGTTCGAGGTGAGATTCGATACCTGAGCGGGAAATGAAGCCCTCTATTTATAGGTGACGGATTCGACAGCACACACGACCAGCGGTTACATGTCTTTTCTCATATCGGACATGTCAGGTTCCGAGCAGGTCGGTCCCCAGTCAGGTCGAACCTTGGTGTCCATACTTCATCTTTTATAACGGGCAAACCCGGTCTCCTCGGCGGGGCCGAGGTGGACCTAAGCAATCCTTTTCATTTAATTTCTTCAAACACTAATAAGGGTCCTCCACGTGTCTTGGATATGTTTACCCCCAAACACCCCGCCTTAAATAAGCGAAAATGCAAGGTTAACAATGGGGAGAGTCAAAATTGAAGAGAGGAAAAAAAGGAGGAAGATAACGGAGAAAAGGCTACGTTACAGTAGTTTTGACGAGTAAAACAGAATCAACATCAGTTTTATTAAAAAAAACTTTTTTTTTTAATTTAAACAAATCTTTTTATTTGAAACAAAATTCTTTACTTAAAATCAAATCTTATTTATTTATTTATTTTAATAATAAATCAAATTCTTTTAAAACAAAATCTATTTTTAAATTTAATTAAAACTTTACCTTAAAACTAATAATAAAGTAAAATATGTTATTTATTCCACCAAAGTAAAATAATATGGTCTTTATGCATGGCTAAACACATAGAAAATTAATTTCTATATTGGTGGTTAACATGAGGTTTGAACCAATTCCTTCTAAATCATTGTGATTTACGTGGGCTCTTTGGACCAATGAGCCAACCTATGATGGTTGCACCTAGGTGTACTACTCATAGCCACAATCTTGTATGCAAATGAATAATGGACCACGTTACATATTTGCTACTCTATATGCAAAGAATGAACGGATGATAGTATTCAAGGTAGGTTAAAAAAATAATAATTATTATAAAATATCGCCCCACGTCTCATTTTCACATGTGTGCTTTTCTTTAGTATAAAACAAAATAACATTATTAGGGATCAAAATGAGGTAGCATTATTAGTGCACAATCTATCACGAGTAATAAAATGGAAGTATTCCGAAATCGTCCCTCAAAGGATTGGAAGTTTTCTTTAAAAACCAAATGAATTAGTGGGAAATATTGGTTTGAGGTTTTGTAATTACTTAAGAACGAAAATCCAGCCCTTCGACTCCAACTTATAATTAAAAAAGTCACGAGATACAATACCAAGCACTAGGCACACTCCTTCTAAATTGGATGGTTCCGCTTCATAATCTATTTATGTAAAAAATATTTCAACATTTTAAATTCATTACTAATATGTCTATTAATAACCGGTCATAATTTGATTATAACCATCTCCAACAAAGGACAAGTTCCTATATCTAAGTTACTTAACGGATTCTTTTATGTTGTCTAAAGATTTCTTCTTGTAATTATTCATTGGAATGGCATATTTTACTACCCGTCCTTTGCAGTATCAAGTAATTACATTAACTTCTTAATTTGTCAAATTCAATTGTTAAATGTAGAAATCAATTCAAATGAAGGAAAATGTGTTGCCTTAAACTTGCTAACGTGTTCTTTAAAAAAGAAAAAAAATTAAGTCTCCATGAAAGGGCTAGAACGGAAAATTTAGCTAATGATAAAATTATTAAAATTGAATTAAATAATTAAGAACAAAACTCAATGAAATCATATTGGAATCTAAGGCAAAAGTCAGTGCTGGAAAACAAGAAATTGTAACCTGAATGAATTTTACCTTTCTCGTTCAATTTCACAAGAATGTATTGTTACGAAACCCTTGCAAATGCAAATAACTCACAAATAAAGACTAAAAAGAGTTATGTATCTTTTTTTTTTTTCTGGACTTCCACTCAAATATTTTTGGCCCCAACAAATCGTTTAGGTGCGATGGCCATAATACTTTGATACAGACCGAGCAACAGTCATCTATTGATGACCATCAGTAAATTTTTGAAGTGAGATAGCCTTTCACAATATACCACCATTAATGGAAAACGATGAGCGAGGAGGTTAAGGTTAGTAGTTTGCGTCCATGCCTCAGCTATTATACTTTCTCTGTCTTTCTTGTCCCTTTTATTTCTCTGCTGCCCTTTTTCTCTCTCCCTCTCCACYCTAGAAATCAGTAGTTTGTGTGTCCATGCCTTAGCTGTTACCATGTTCATATATGATTAAGTTTAGTTTAATCCATCTGCTTAAGATTTTGGATTCATGGGTGATTGTCACGCCATTAAAGTTACTAAAATATAAAAACTACGGACCCACATGGTTATATAAAAGCAAACTTGATAGAGATTTAAGATGAGATGATTGGAAAGATAGAGATACAATAATTAAACATAGAGAATTGAAGAGGGTAACATGTAGAAGGTCAYGAAACCTTTTTATTTGTTGGTGGCGAGTAGTAGGCAGAACAATGATTGGTTAATTGTGGTAGATCTTTAAAGACGTAAGTTCTCTGTGGCTCTCCCATGGCTTGTCATACACGATGACCTCATAGTTTAGATTTAGACTGCCGCGTTTCGTGTACAATATGAGCTTGTAGTTAGTTCCAGCCACCACCTGTTCCTCCCCACTCACCACTTTCTTGAATACAAGTGGTGTAGGATTCGGGTTTTTCCTGTTGTACTCAATGCATGCATACCTTCCGATTTCAGAAATGTATGGGTCACTCAAATTTTTGATCGGCTGATAGCCGCCTAAAAATACGAAGGGATTGAAAGACGTAAGGTTTCTGTAGCTCTCCCATGGCTTGTCATACACGATGACCTCATAGTTATGAATTTGTTTGTTGATGGTGACATTTAATATGAGCTTGTAGTTAGTTCCACTCACCACCTGCCGCTCCCCACTCACCACTTTCTGGTATACATAGGGCGTAGAGGAATGCCCTTGTCTCCTGTTGTACTCAATACATGCATACCTTGCGATTTCTTGAATGTATGGGGCATTCACATCGTCGATCGGCTCATAGGTGCCGACTGCATGAGGGGACGGTGGCGCAGCTGCAGCTGCTGCCATTGCTGGAAGCAGGACAGCCAAAAACAGAGGAAACAAAAACAATTTCATTGTTACTCTTACTAATACTAACCTCTTTTGTTTCTTGAACAAAGTGGGAGTATATCGGCAGCTTATTTATACAACATTTCCAACGAGTTTCAAAGTTCTAATTTTCATATTTATTTCTAAACAGATATTACTATAAATTGTTTACAGCCACTCAAATAATGCTCGTGAGTGCCAAGCTGGCCTATCCAAAAAAGGGAATTTAAAAACGTGTTCATGTAAAGCTGGCTGGTGGGGTTCCCGAAAACAACAGCTTTCTTTAATTACTATTTGAATCTTCCTTCACAGTCCTTTTTGCGTATATTTTTACTACCACTTAACACCGTTAAAATTTACATTACAATTTTATGATTTGCAGAGAATGTATCAATTTCCTGTTAATTAATTAGGTATAGCGGCCAGATCATACTTCGAAAAGAGTAAAATTATAACTTTCTAACATTCATATATAATATTTTTCAATGGTAAGGGGGTGAATTCCACCATGGTTAAATTTGGGGGATTAGGAGCGTGTGCAATTTTAGGAGTGGTTTATCCACTACCCTGCGTGTACTACTAAACACATAGAAAATTAATTCCCATGTAGGTGGTCATTATGAGTTTGAACTCATTCCATCTAAATCCTTGTGATTTACATTCGGCTTATGGACTAATGAACCAACCTATGATGGTTGCTCTACGTGTACTACTTGTGTATGCAAAGAAAAATCAGACAGTAGGATTCAAGGTAGGTTTTTAGAAAAAGAAAAAAATAAAAAAGAATAAGAGAAAGAAAATCGACTCACGTCTCAATTTCCACATATGGCCTTTTATTCAGTATGAAACAAAATAGTATTATTAGAAATGAAAATAAGTTCATGGACCATTTTTCAAATTTCAAAGACTAAAATGTCATTTTTTAAACTTTAATTTTAGCTAGGGACCAAAAAGTATATTTTTATCTTGTAATATTTAATCACGATGCATTCAATGGTTAAATTTTTTAAATGATCAAAAATATGATTCCATGCAAATATTGTGAGATGCATTGAATGGCTAAATGAAAGTAACTAAGGTCTCGTTTGATAACTATTTCTGTTTTTTGTTTTTTGTGTTTTTGTTTTTGGTTTCCTATTTTTTAAAAACAAAAACCATATATATGTATGATAACCATTTTTTGTTAAACCAAACATGTTTGGTAACTGTTTTTAGTTTTCTGTTCTTAAAAAGTTAGAGAGAAAAAATTTCAAAAAAATATTAAATTTTGAGAGAGATAATGAAACTGATCTGTTAGAATAAAAAATAAGAAAATAAAAATACATAAAGATGAAAAATTCAGAGAGAGACAAATAATAATAAGTATTCAAAATATGAAAATTTGAAAGAAAAAATTTTAAAGTGAGAAAGAATTTGGTTAGAGATACGTATGAGATAATTGAGTATTAGAAGAACAAATTAGATTTTGAAAAAAAAAATTAGTTTTTGAAAACTACTTTTTCTTTGTTTTTAAAATATATCTAGGATTTCAAAATAGTTTTTGAAAAACCAAAAACACAAAATTGAATTGGTTACCAAACAATCTTGTTCTTAAAAAACTAAAAACAAAAAACTGAAAACGAAATGGTTATCAAAGCACTTAGTAAGTAAGAGTAAGTTGTACTAAATAGAAGAACTAAGCAAAAAAAAAAATTCTTTGGAAGAGAAGATGCTGGTGTTTATATAGGCTAATGGAGACCAGTTGAAAAGATTAAAGGTGTGTTTGGGAGTAATTTAAAAAAAAGAGATTTTAATATAATTGATTTTCCAAAATCACCCTCTAAGTGATAGCTTAAAAATCAATTTTAAGTGATTTTAAACTTTCTTAAATCAATTTTCTAATTTGTCAAACATCACTAATAGAAAGGGAAGTGATTTTGACAATGGTAAAAGTGATTTTATCATGACCAAAATCACTCCCAAATACACCCTAACTTGCGCTAGGGATCTAGTTTTTCTCTCGATGTTGGTTAAAAAAAGGTCGGTGGAATTTCATTATTACTATACTGAGCTTTTATTTCGGGAAGAAAGTGAGTATATAGGTAGCTTGAGCTTATTTATACAACTTCCACTGGATGTTGACCATGGCACAATGTAATGACGATGGCCTTTTATGGTTCAACCCCTAGACTTGATCAAAATTACACAAAATAATTAAAAAAAAACCCTATCTGCCCTTCTAAAATCAGAATGATTGTAAGTTAAATACAAAATTTCAAAATTAAGTTAGCTATTTAAACTATCTATAAAAATAGGTTTGATGTTGGTTGCGTCAAAAGTAAAAAAAATAAAAATCTTGGATGCAAATGTACGCAAATTAAGTGCCAACAGATGGATGGTATTAAACACTTTTACTTTTATCAGAAAGAATTATTCTGAAATAAACTTCAAACACCTGTTCACTACCATTTAACATCATTAAAATTGATGATATTAAAAAAAAAAAAAAGAAGAAAAGAAAATTAATGCCATTAGAATTTTGTAATTGGTAGGGCATCCATAAAATATATCCGTTTCCTATTAATTAAGTACAGAGCCAAAGTTCACTTAGAAAAGAGTAAAATTATACCTTTCTAACTTTTCATATATATAAACTTTCAATGTGTGGCTCTTAGAAAAGAGTAAAATTATATCTTTGTAACTCTTCATATGTATAAACTTTCAATCGTAACAAGGCGAATTCGACCATAGTTAAGTTTGAGTAGATTAGGGGTGTGTGTGATTTTATGTACTACTAAACACATAAAATTAATTAATTCTTAGACAGGTGGTCATTGTGAATTTGAACATTTTCCTTCTAAATCCTTGTGATTTACGTTGGGTCTATAGACTACTTCTAATAAATTTTTATTAGAAGAAAAGTTATTAGTAATATAAATGAAAAAAAATAATAAAAGTATTAAACAATTAATCAAAAAAGTTATGAGTCTCGATCGAGGAGTAAAAGTTGTAAAAAAAAACTATAATAAATATGTGGGGCCTATAAATAATGAATGAGATTGAGATTGAGGTGATTACAAAGTTTGAAGTGATTACATGTGTTTAGTTGATTACAAAGTTTGAGGTGAGATACTCACCATTTGATTCAATTCATACAATTTTTGCGAACACCGAGAAATAAAAAAATTAATTCTCATTCCCTTGAAGTAACATGTCTTGAGTAAAAAAATAATTAATAAGTTTCTTAAAAGCAGAGGGATCGTTTTGCAAAGAACACAAGAAAGAAACATTTAGAGTGATTTTGACATGTCATTGTTAAAATCACTTCCCCTTTCATTAATCATGTTATTAATATCAGATGGTGATTTTGAAAATCAATTATAATTAAATCTCTTTTTTTTTAAATCATTAATTCTACCGTCACTCTCAAACTGACTCTTTAAGAATGAGTTTGATTGGTGCTTTGAAATCATGAATATGGAAACAAGGGATTCTCCTCTGTCAACTTTTTATCTTCATTGTGGCCTCCCAATTACAAAGGAACCAAAGCCAAAGTTTGTAATTATTTGTTCAAATCAATCAATCAACTTCGAAGTTTCAATTTTTTTTTCATTTCATTTTTTTTTTACTTTTTTTAAAAAAATTATTTTATATTGTAACATACATTAATATTAGAGATTTCTTTAGGTGTAGTTACTCTATCAATATAGAATATTAATATATTTACAAGAAAATACAATTGTGAATATGAAAAGATTAAGTAGAAAAAAAGATATAAAAACTGATCGAGTCTAAAGAACGTGATTTCGATAAATTTATTATTGAAACTAAAAGTAACAAAAACGATAAAATGATTGGTATAGATAAATCGAAAATGATTGGTATAGATTCGATTTTCTCATATACATATATTACTTATATAATATTATTGTTTCAGGTCAACTATATTACAATCAGGATGGAATAGAAAACATTGTCTATTAAAATAATATATAAACGAATTTAGATTCTTTTATATTTTAATACATAATTTTACACCTCAAAAGATTTTGCATAACAAAAAGTAAAAGAAAATTAAATTCAATTTTAAACGATATATTTTATATTATGACCTCATTATGAAAAGAAGTTCATTAGAAACAAGAGTTATATTTTATTTATTCACTATTTTCAAGTACGTGTATAGGAGCAGGATTCAAAAATAGAATTTGGATTTGAGAATTTTTTGAATTAAATATATTATCATATTTCGCATTATAAAATTTAAAATATTACACAACTTATTATACAATATATTATAATTTATAATATTGTTTCTTATTTTTATAAAAAACTAAAATGACTTCATAGTATAATTTCATACAATAAATCTTCACTTTATAATATATATCCAGCCCTTCATATATATATATATAAGTATTCGATGGTAAAAAGGAGATTCCACCATGGTTAAGTCTGGGGAGATTAGGAGTGTGTGCAATTGTGGGAGTCGTTTATGCATGGCTAAAAATATAGAAAATTAATTTCTATGTAGGTGGTTAACATGGAGTTTGAATCAATTCTTACGATTTACCTAAATCTTTTGGATCAATGAGCCAACCTATGATGGTTGACCTAGGTGTACTACTCATAGTCACGATCTTGTATGCAAACCAATAATATGGGACCATGTTACATATTCGCTACTCTGTATGCAAAGAATGAATAGATTATACTATTCAAGGTAGGATTGTAAAAAAAAAATAATAATAACAATAATAATAAAATATAGTCTCACGTCTCATTTTCACATGTGGTATTTTCTTTAGTGTAAAACAAAGTAGCATTTTTAGGGATCAAAATGAGGTAGCATTATTAGAGTGCAACTACAAACTCATCCTGAGTAATAAAATGGAAGTATTCCAAGATCCTCGTTCCTCAAGAGTTGGAGGTTTTCTTTAAAAAACCAAATAAATTAATGAAATGTTCGACGTGCAATTGATTTTATGAATGAAATGAGT